TTGTACGCACTAGCTACTTTGGGCAACATCTCATCCCAGTTAATCTGATCCGGCCTAATATACATGCGCAGAACTTGCTGTAGGATCTTGTTCATTTGCTCCGTCTGACCGTTAGTCTCCGGACGACATCAACAACTTGGATCCATACACTCCCATGAGTTCTTGCCAGTTCTGGCTGGTGAAACGACTATCTCTATCACTAACTATTGACAGCGGGATTCCGTTCTCACTAACCCAACAGTCAAAGAACCTCTGTATGACTAAATCAGTACGCGCCTCTGAAGGCAAAGGAACAAAAACTGCCTACTTGCTAAACCGGTCAACTATGACCATGACTTGGCTCTTGCCATGCCTGCTCTTGACTTGAGTGTCCATAAAATCTATTGACATTGAGTCTCCCGGCTGATCCGGAATGGGAAAGGGTCTGAGAAGACCTAAGGGAGCACGCGTAGATGTCTTGTTACGTTGGCAGACTTTACAACTGCGAACATACTCTACGCAATCATTCTTCATCCCTGGCCAGGTATACGCGCGCATCAGATTGGCTAAAGTCTTCTGCCAACCAAAATGACCCTCTGTGTCATGGCATTCGCCCAGAATCAGACTACGAATCTCTTCGCTATTGGGGATGCACAGGCGGTCGGACACATTAGTCTTCTAAAAAAGCAACCCTTCGGTAGTGCGGTAATTCGGTTCAGTCTTTGGGGCCTCCTTGACTTTCTTAAGGAGCTCACTATAGATAGGGTCCTACGCGTAAGCTTCTCTAACCCTCTGCTGCAGGTCCTTCCCTATATCGAGGTAATGTACTATTGCCCCAAAGTAATCCGCTCTCCTAATCAGAGCATCCGCGACTACGTTGTACTTCCCTTTGACAGGCTTGAGCTCAAAGTCATACTGATCTATCTCTGTGGCCCACCTAGTAAGCTTTGGTGTCATCTTGGCCTGCGTCTTTAACCATCGTAATGTCTCATGGTCAGAAATAGACTTTGAAGTGCCTCCCAAGCAAGTAGTGCTTCCAGTGGTCTAAGGCTTACCTGAGAGCGTAGAGTTCCCTTTCATAGGTAGATGTCGCGACCTTCTCTGAAGGCATCCTGGCGGACATGAACTCTACGGGTCTATAGCCATTGCCATCGTCTTGCTGTAACACTGCGCCTGTGCCGTACTGGCTAGCATCCGTAGTAACGACAAAAGGCAAGGACGGATCGGCGACCTTAAGGACCGGATACTCTATCAATGCCTGCTTTAGCTTCTTCATGGCAGACGTGCAGTCCTTGTCCCACTTCCACATCGTCTCTTTTCTCAGCAATTTGCGAAGGGGCGCAGCGATGGTGGAGAAGTTCCTCACAAACTTCCTTTAGTAGTTAGCTAGGCCCAGGAACGAGCGCAACTCTGTCAGCGTACGTGGCGTGGGCCACTCTCAAATCGCTGCGATCTTGCTATCTTTTGGCTTAACGCCATCTCCATCTAAGACGTGGCCTAGGTACAGAACTTGGGTCTTTGACCCAATCGCACTTCTTTGCATTGATCTTGAAGTTAGCTTCCCTCAACTTCTCCAAGACCTGCCTGAGATGACCCTGATGCTCTTCGAGGGTCCTACTAAACACTAAAATGTCATCTAGATAAACTACAACAAATATGTCTAACCACGGCCTAAACAAATCGTTCATACAGCGCTGGAACGTAGTTGGCACATTGGTTAGTCCAAAGGGCATCACTATGAACTCGTAGTGCCCATATCTAGTCCGGAAGGTTGTCTTATACTGATCATCAGGATGCACCTCTATTTGATGATATCCGGACTTCAAATCTATCTTGGAGAAATACTTCGCCCCCTGCACTCGATCTAGGAGATCGTCTATCCTAGGCAGCGGCTCAACATTCTTCAGTGTAATGGCATTCAGACCCCTATAGTCTATACACATCCTTAGCTCTCCCTCTTTCTTAGGTACAAAGAGAATAGGGGCTCCAAAAGGAGACGAACTGGGCCTAATCCAACCCTTCTCAAGGAGCTCATCCAACTGTTTCCGCAGCTCCTCTAACTCCCGCGGGGACATCCTGTACACCGCACCCTTAGGAGTTCTACTGCCAGACTCTATCTCAATACGGTGCTGGATGGGCCGCGGCACCGTGCCTGTCGGCGGCTCAGTCAAATCCTTAAACTCTTCCAGCAGCTTGGCAATCGCGGGGTCCATCGGCTTCTCCGCCGTAGGCTCAGTCACTGGCCTAACATAGGCAACAAAGACCTGTTCCTCCAATCCCTCCTTCTTCACTAGTCTGGCGAACGCGGGGGCACTAAGGCAGCAGTGCGCCAAGGAATTCTCTACCCCTGACACATGGAACAGGCGGGCAGTCTTGGCCTCGCCTGACGAACTAGGGAGCCTACACTCGTGCTCCTTCAAATGGAGCGTGGCCCCGGCTGCCTCTCCCCAATCCATTCCCAGGACAATGTCAAATGGGAGGCTGTCCTCTACGAGGAGAGTCAGGGAGCGGAGGACCTTCTCCACTTTCCCATCTTTCTCTAGGCGGAAATACGCCTAGACTCCCTCTACGTAATCCTCTACAATCATAGTACGATTGTCCGCGAGGATACTAACTATGGGGTCTATCAGTTTCTGGACTTCTACAGCGCTTTCCTACTAATATAGCTGCAAGTGGCCCCTGAGTCTACTAGGGCCCCTACTCTACTTCTAAAAATCTCTGTATCTAGTAATATAAGCTGCCCTTTGTTCTCCTTCTTCATCTTGGACCAGGCGGGCATCCTCTCCTTCAACTCTTCGGCCACGCCTGTGAGGGAGGTGTCTAGCGAAACTCTAACACAAGCAGTTTCGGGACAGTTGTCTAGACACCGGCCTGCAACCTCTGTCGTAGGCACATGTGGTGTGGGAGTCTCCTGCCGGCTAACACTATTTTCCCCACATGGCCTAGTGGTAAGGGCAGTTGCTACCCCTACCAGCGGCTGCCTTTTGGCCCTTGGGCAGCCGTTCGGGTCTCTCTATACTTGGGACAATATTTGATGATATGGCCCGGGTCACCGCAGAAAATGCACTGACCCCGGTCCAATCGTTTTTGCCATAAGTCTTGGTCCAAACCCAGAGATTCTCAAGGCCTACCCTGAGGTAGCCCTGTGTGCCATCCTCCTACTCTATAGGGAGACCTATTCCTAGGACGGTTTTGCGAGGGACCTTGACCCCTGCCTCCCGCTTGGCGGTTTTCTCCTCTGCCGCCAACCCCCTGATCGCCTTGAAAACGGCTCCCTGAGGCCCGGCCCCCTTGGCTCTGGCCTCTTCCTCCTTGCGGCCTCCCTCCGGCGGCGACAGCAGCGTAGGATCTCCCCTGGCCCACACTGTTGTCCGCCTCCTCTAGCCCCCACTCAATCTGATCGTAGGGAATCTCATCCACACTACCCTCATCTAAAGTCAGGACAAGGCTATCCTTGGTYTTTACCTGCCCTGAGATAGTGCGGCCTTTCCATTGCTTTCCCTTGTCCAAATCCTTATGCCAGAAGGTAGACAAGGACACTGACTTCGCTTCAAAAGCCACCACCTCACGACTAAGGGAATCGTAAGTGGTGGCAGGGTCTTCGCTCTTCGCGAAGAACTGCCCTCGAAAGGCTTCGGGCATAGCCCGGTAAAAGAGGTTGACCAACTGGCCCTCTGTGACCCCATGGTCAGGGACGGCCACCAACTCATCCACTGTACCCTTGAGTGCCCTGGCACTCTTCCATTTACGGGAATGGATGGTTTGGAGCTTGTCTGAGGCCTTGACACTGCGAGCGACATCAGCAAATCGCTCACGCAGCAACTTCAGGAATTCGATGAGGGACGTAAATGAGGAGTAAGCAACGGGATCATCACTTGGCAGCGCGAACTAGAGACCTTACAAAACTGGCGGCCTCATCTCTCAGCGCGTGAATAGCAATAGGACTTGCTGATCTGGGGAGACCTGTTGCAAGTGCACATAGGTCTTAACGTTGGCCTCCCAATTGTCAAAGTTTTCCTCCCTCTTCCCACCGTAGGAATCGGGGAACTTGACTTTGACAGGCTCCCGGCGAGGAGGACGTGCTTCCTCCTCCTTGGGAGTTGCCGCCTTGACGCCTTCAATGGCGCCAACGCAGAACCGCTCAGTCTTGTCGAGGCGGTGACCCACCTCGGCTCCAACGGCGCCTACCAGCTCACGAGCAAAGTCTCGAAAGCCCAACCGTATCGAGCGCACAGCTATTTCCTGACTTCTGCTAAAGTCATATTGGTCTGCCTCAACCCGTGCCAGGCATGCGACGCTCCGAGCTATGACTCGCATCTGATTCGGGAGATCGGGCTGGGCGGGTAATTGCACCTCTATCTTCTTCACTTCCTCCAAGGCCCCTGCCGCCTCCGCTGCCTTGTCAATTCTCCTCTTCTTCTCCCTCATCACCGCTAATTTCCATTCCATCCTCTTCTCGTCTTCCAACGCTTGACGTTTAAGAGGGTCTTTCTCTGCATCCCAAGCCTTCATGGCAACTTCTTGCTGATCCTGCGGGATATACATACTAACCTCTTCCTCTTCTCCCATAGTCAGGTTGGCAACCCATTCAGATATCCTCTTCTCCAGGTCTCCACCGATACTACTACTGGGCTGCCCACTACTCCTTTGCAGTGGCGGACCGTCCTCTTCTTCATCCACCGCCTTCAGTTTCTCTTCTTCTTCCTTCTTTAGCCTCTCTTTCTCTCTGGCCATCTCTTCTTCCATCTTCTTCAATTTGGCCGCCTGCTCCTCCTTCAAGGCCTTCTTCTTGGCCTCCTTCTCCTTTCTCTCCTGCAGGATGGCGGCCATCTTCGCCTCCTCCTCCTTTGTGTACGGCATAGTGGAGGTGCCGCGCCGGGTGTCTACCATGGTGGTGTCAGGTGCACGACAAAGGTCCCACTCTTCACCACTTGGACCTACCCGGACACAAACCTACTGACCGACTTCCTAAGGACCACAGGGTAAGACCCTGTCAACTATGGTCCACTAACCCAAGACTTATTCTAAGGTTGTCACTACTGAACCCAAAGTTGATCTGGAGGCATTTAAGGAGATCCCCCGTAACTCCTCAAGAATTCTTTAACATCGCAGACAGGACGACGTGATCAGCTTGGTTCTTCCTGGCGATTTCAGCCCACAACTCAGCCGTTCCAGCCTACTGTGCCACACCGAGCAGCCCGCCGATCTGTACCGGTCCTTGGAGGGGTTCGTATCCCTCGGGACAGTCAAGTCGTCAGACACAGATCATCAGTTGTAATAGGTCCGGTAGGGGAGTGGCTCAACCAGGCCTCAACACTTAAAGACGGCCCTCGTTTCAGCCTACAACCCGGCCTTCAGACCCTCTACACTGAACTCAGTAGACCTGCCGGACAGTACCGGTCATTGGGCTAGACGAGTTGTTTAACGAGCGCTCGCCGCTCATGCCCAGGTCTCCAAGTGCCAGAGTAGAGCTTTGGTCCTACTAAGCCCGTGTAGGTTTGGCAGCAAGGCCCTATCCTTCATC